TCAAGCAGTATTGAGGACATTTCGCGTTGAGGTGAGTAGTAAATAGGTCTACTGTCGGAAACCCCCAACATTGGAATATCGTAGAAAGTACCTTGGGATGCAGTTCCCATTCGTGGTTGAGTGAGAAGTGACTGCTCAGGGCGTCCGCTGTGCAGTTGTGCTGACTGGGGAGGTACTCCGCAATTAGAAAGATACTGTGATGGTTGCAGAGATTCCATAAACATATCGCTTCTACACATAGTGAGTGGGATCTAGCTCCCCCTTGTTTGTTTATGTAATAAACGGTCGTCATATTGTCAGTGAGGATTCGCGTGACTTGTCCTCGAATAATTGGAAGGAAATGTTGGCAGGTGTTGTACACTGCTAAGTTTTAGAAAGTTGATGTGCAGCAGCGATTCGTAGGGAACCCACAAGCCCTGTACCTGCTCGTGCCTGAGGTGGGCATCCCATCTGATGAGTGACGCATCAGTCGTAATCCGTACTGTTGGCTGAGAGTGATGGAAGGGTACGCCCGACATGAGATTATCTGGAACGGTCCACCAAGCCAGTGACGCTCTGACACGAGTGGGAATTGCTATTGTCCTGTGGATGTCGCGGGCATTTGGAGGGCATATCTTCGCCATCCAGTGCTGAAAGCAACAAAAATGTAACCTTGCGTGTTTGATGACATACGTCATGGACACCATGTGTCCCATGAGTTGTAGGCACTGTAGTATGGAGACCCTTGAATGCTCAACAAAACCTGGAGCAGATCCTGAATTGTCTGTAATCTGGTTATTGGCAAGAAACCTTGTTCAAGAATGGAGTAGAGACGAGCACCGATAAATTGTATTGATTGTTGCGGTTCCAAAGATGACTTTGGGATATTGAGAATGAGACCCAGCACTTTGAAGACTATGCACGTGGTGTTTGTGGCATGATGTGCTTCCATTGATGACTGAGCTCCGATTAAGCAGTCGTCAAGGTATGGAAAAAATCAACACGCCTAGATGATGAAGATACGCGGTCACTACAGCAAGGGTCTTGGAGAAATCCCTTGGAGCCAACGAGGGACTGAACATCAGGACCTTGTACTGGAAATGGTCTGTACCGATTTGAAAACGTAAAAATCTCCTGTGGGCCGGATGAACAGCGACATGGAAATGTGTGTCCTGGAGATCGAGGGATGTGAACCAGTCCCCTCCTTGAACTGCTGGGATGATTGTGGGTAGGATGACCATTCGAAATTGTTGTTTTCATAGATAACGGTTCAGGCCACAAAGATCCAATATTGGCCTCTATCCCCCCCAATTTCTTTTCTGTGATAAAGTATCGGGAGTAGAACTCTCTGCCCTTGAATTCGTCCGGAACGGACTGTATTGCATCGATAGTGAGTAGACGAATGGCCTCCTGCCTGAGCAGGGACTTGTGAGATGGGTCCCTGAAAAAGGAAAGGGCAGGGGAAAGAGGTGAGGTAGCGACGTGAATGGAATGGTATAACCCAGCGGAATGGTTTGAAGGACCCATTTGTCATTAGTAATGTGGGTCCAGCATTGAAGGTAGGGTCTTAGACGGTGATGGAAGACCGTATTTGTAGCACCCAGGCAGTTGATGGTTACCCTGCTGGGTAGCCACCTTCGGAGAAGGTCGTCTCCGTTGTTGCCGTTGTCTGGCTCTGTTGTTCATGGGGTTTGTGGGGTGGAGGATGATGGGGAAAAGGTCTTTGTTTCTGGTAGGGAGTATACCTTTTCCAGAAGTACGGTGGCGCGTACTTGAGGGTAATCCTAGAGTCCTTCCCCAAGTGGTGCAATTGGTCTGTCTTATTTGAAAACAGGTTCTGCCTCTTGAAGGGAAGGTCTTCGACTTTCGACAAAAGATCTTTAGGGGCAGACGACTGCTGCAGCCAGGACACCCTGCGCATAACGACTGATGTAGCTAAGTCTATACCAATGCAAATGAAACGTGGATTAGCATTTTGCTATGCTTCATTTGCATAATTTATTCAAGCCGTTTTTGCGCAATAACAAGCAGTGTGTGGACAGGGTTTTTTTGCCCAACAATCCCATTTTGCACAAGATCTTTATGCCTCTCCTTATGCTAATCTGCGCTTCATTTGCAGAGGCACTGCTGGCAAAGCCAGCAGTGTAGACATAGCCCAGTGGTCCCCAACACGGTGTCCGCGGGCGCCATGGCGCCCGCCGGGGCATTTGTGTGTGCCCGCCAACAACCTGGGCCGGCCCCGCCCCCGGCACGCGGCACACTGGAGGCGCCGGCCCCAGGCACGCGACACGCACTGGTGCCTGGTGCGCGGCGCTCGGGCAGCCCCAGCCCCGGGGCACATGCGGGCGCGCGGCGCCGGCCCCAGGTGCGCGGCTACCAGCGCAGGATGCGCGGCGCTCGGGCGGCCCCAGCCCTGGGGCACATGCGGGTGCTCGAGCGGCGTCGGTGCCTGCACCAGGCGCGCAGCTCGGGGGGTGGCGCCAGCCCCGGGCCCACGGCACAAGGCACTCGGGCAGCCCCAGCCCCGGGGCACATGCCGGCGCCGGGGGCAAGGGCATCCCCGCCCCTGACGTGCCCCAGGATGCACGGCCCCACCCCCCGGGCGCCTGGCGCGTGAGTGGCCCCGCCCCCGGGCGCCCGGGAGCCTCTAAAGGTTGGGGACCACTGACATAGCCTAAGTGACTGTCTGAACCAAAAGTAGGACTGAATGACTTGTAAGCTCTATGATTTTATATTGTTTTGATTTTGAGTCCAATTATGTAAAACAAATCCACCATGGCAAGAAACTGCACTACAGTATTTGTATAAGGCCTCAATTGGAGTATTGTGTCCAGTTCGGGGCACCATATTTCAAAAAAAATGTGGAGAAGTTGGAAAAAGTCCAGAGAAGAACAACAAAAATGATTAAAGGTTTAGAAAACATGAGCTATGAGGGAAGGCTGAAGGAATTGGGCTTGTTTAGTTTGGAAAAGAAAAGACTAAGAGGGGACATAATAGCAATTTTCAGGTATCTAAAAGGGTACCACAGGGAGGAGGAGGAAAATTGTTCTCCTTGATCTCTGATAAGACAAGAAGCAATGGGCTTAAACTGCAGCAAGGGAGGTTTAGGTTGGACATTAGGAAAAACTTTCTGTCAGGGTGATTAAATACCGGAATAAATTGCCTAGGGAGGTTGTGAAATCTCCATCACTGGAGATAATTAAGAGCAGGTTAGACAGACAGCTATCAGGGATGATCTAAATGGAGCTTGGTCCCGCTATGAGGGTAGGGTACTGGACTTCATGATCTCTCAAGGTCCCTTCCAGATCTAGCATTCTATGATTCTATAAAGTGAACAGAAAAATATTTATTTTGTTTAACATTTATACAGTGCAAATATTTGTAAAAAAAATATAAATTGAGCACTGAACACATATATTCTGTGTTATAATTGAAATCAATATACGTGAAAATGTAAAAAAGCATCCATACATTTTTAATAAATTTCAACTGATATTCTATTTAACAGTGTGGATAAAACTCTGATTGTGATTAATTTTAATCACAATTAATTTTTTAGTTAATCACATGAGTTAAATGTGATTAATGGAGAGCCCTAATCTGAATTTAGCCCAAGTATAATACACCTGCATTTTTCAGATTACATTGGGCTCCAATCTTTACACTGCACTATTATGCTTTTGTTTCTCAAACATTTATAACTTTATTACTTTCTTCCCAGTTTTAAGAGAACAAAACCTTCATTTTTAAAGCAAGTTACATGATACCAACAAACCATCATTGTCTTATGCTATTCTTATTGAATTTAAAGGAATTAATCAAAGTCTACTAGAATCATAGAGCTGAAAGAGATCTCTGGAGGTCATCAAGTCCAGCCTCCTGCTCTAGGCAGGACCAATTCCAATTAGATCAACCCAGCCAGGGTTTTGTCAAGCCGAGACTTAAACACCTTTAGGGATGGAGACTCCACTACTTCCCTAGGTAACCCATTCCAGTGTTTCACCACTCTCCTAGTGAAATAGTTTTTCCTAATATCCAACCTGGACCTCTCCCACCACAACTTGAGACCATTGCTCCTTGTTCTGCCATCCGTCACTACTGAGAACAGCTTTTCTTCATCCTCTTTGGAACCTCCCTTCAGGAAGTTGAAGGTTGCTATCAAATCCCCCCGCACTCTTCTCTTCTGCAGACTAATCAGCCCCAAATCCCTCAGCCTCTCCTCATAGGTCATATGCTCCAGCCCCCTAATCATTTTGGTTGCCCTCCGCTGGACCCTCTTCAATGCGTCCACATCCTTTTTGTAGTGGGTGGGCCCAGAATTGGACGCAATACTCCAGATGTGGCCCCACCAGAGCCGAATAAAGGGGATTAATGATATCTCTGGATCTGCTAGCAATGCTCCTCTTAATGCAACCTAATCTGCCATTAGCCTTCTTGGCTACAAGGGCACCCTGTTGACTCATATCCAGCTTCTCATCCACTGGAATCCCCAGGTCCTTTTCTGCAGAACTGCTACAGTACTTAGCTGGTTGGCCCCCAGCCTATAACAATGCTTGGGATTCTTCCGTCCCAAGTGCAGGACTTTGCACTTATCCTTGTTGAACCTCATCAGATTTCTTGTAGCCCAATCCTCCAGTTTGTCTAAGTCACTCTGGACTCTATCCCTGCCCTCCAGCGTATCTACCTCTCCCCCTAGCTCAGTGTCTATCTGCAAACTTGCCGAGGGCGCAATCCATCCCCTCATCCAGGTCATTAATAAAGATATTAAACAAAACTGGTCCTAGAACCGAACCTTGGGGCACTCCTCTAGAAACCAACTGCCATCCTGACATCGAGCCGTTGATCACTACCCGTTGGGCCCGGCCTTCTAGCCAGTTTTCTATCCATCTTACCATTCATTTACCCAATTCACATTCCCTTAACTTGCTGGCAAGAATATTGTGGGTGACCGTATCAAAAGCCCTGCTAAAGTCAAGGTATATCACATCCACTGACTTTCCCATGTCCACAGAGTCAGTTACCTCATCATAGAAGCTAATCAGATTGGTCAGGCACGACTTGCCCTTTGTGAATCCATGCTGACTATTCCTAATCACTTTCCTCTTGGTTCCTGGAAAAATCATGGAAGGTAACTCATGTAAATTACAGTTCAATCCTTTAAATCTTTATTCCCTTAAGTAGTCCTCAGTCTCACTGAACTACTCAGACAACTTGAATGTGCAAGAGGCTCCTTATGATTACATAGCGGTTAAACATTTGACAGCCTGGGTCTAATGTAACCTGTAATATAACTCAACACCACCAAAAAGCCTAAAAACATTATTTTTAGTATTGTTACAAAACATTGTCACATGTTCGGATATTACTTTTAGAATACTATTATTCTTAGCACTCTCTTGCTACCTTCTGAAGTCTAGCACAAATTGAGGAGACACAACACAACGCATAATTTCTAATAATCTAAATATCAAACTTAGTATCACAATCCAAACTAGTAGCTTATATACTATAAAGCAAGTAACAGAAATTACACTTCAGAATAGTGCATCCTACTGTTTCAACTGACTCATCTATGGCTTCAGCTGATTTAGAGAAAATGTTTAGAGATTGCACATTCCATTTTGCTTGCCTTCTCTTTTTCGATTTCTCAAATTCCCCTTTCACCAGATTTTTAAATATTTGTTGCTTCTGATGGAGTAAGAGTAATCTTTAAAAACAATATACTTAGGATGATGGTGGATTCTCCACCACTGATATTTGAAATCATATTTTGAGGAAGCTGTATGGCATGTCTACTCAACTTTGGAAGCCCCGGGAGCCACAATGATACTCACAGCACATGCCGAGGGCAGCAACTTAAGTGTGGTTGCATATACATGCAAATATACATGCAAATATATGCATACAGCTTCTTTCACACAATGCCCCAGTGTTCCCAGCACTTCCTCCCTGGGGACTAGAAATGCCGACACTCTGTACCCATCTGTTCCACCCAGTCTGTCCCCTTGCCTCTCCATTGTGGAGCGTATTCCCAGTGGAGGCCTTGTTCAAAGTATCCCACCTGTGGGCCGTGTGTTGAGCCCCTCATAAACCCAAACCACACCATGGACCGCAAACAAACGGGCCACAGGCTGCATGCAACCCACAGGCCATGTGTTGAGTAGCCCTGCTGTATGACCTGCGCTATCCAGGAAGTTAGACTAGAGGATCACAATGGTCCATACCAGACATGGAATCAATATAAATACAGTAGAACTGCAGAGTTATGAATATCTTGGAATAATCTCCATTCCCAAACAAAATACAGGACTATGTAGCACTTTACAGACTAACAAGATGGTTTATTAGATGATGAGCTTTCGTGGGCCAGACCCACTTCCTCAGATCAAATAGTGGAAGAAAATTGGCAGTGGAAGTGGGTCTGGCCCACAAAAGCTCATCATCTAATAAACCATCTTGTTAGTCTTCAAAGTGCTACATAGTCCTGTATTTTGTTTGGGAATGGAGATTATTCATAACTCTAAAATGTACAAAACTCTAAACAAAATGTTATGATTGCTCTTTCCAAAGTTCATAACTGAACTCTGACTTAATACAGCTTTTCAACTTTTCTGTGCAAAATAAAAATGCTGCTTTCCCTTCTTTTTTAGTAGTTTACATTTAACATAATGCTGTACTATATTTCTTTGGAGCATGGAAGGGCCTCTGCTGCTGCATGATTATGTAATTCCAGTTCTAAATGAGGTGTACGATTATCTGATCAGTTTGTAACTCTGATGTTCTATTGTACAATGAACTTACCAGCACTACATAGATCTAGGGAAACAAATATATATTTTCCATGTGTACGGCTGTACTTTCTGTCAAGGCTTTTCCTTTTCAAATTCCCCCTCTAAAAGCTTTGTTAGCTTTGAGTTAAGAAACCTCAACATTATCCCTACTCCATTTCATGTCCCTTATTTTCCTAACACATTCAGTTTTAAAACACCCATACATATGAACAATTAATATTTGAACATGTAGGGTATAGGGTTACCAAGTGTCCAGTTTTGAACCGGACAATCCAGTATTTGAGCTTTCTGTTTGGGAAACAAATTGAGAAAATATGAATGTCTGGTATTTTCTAAATAAGATGTAATGTAGATTGTGATGAAATGTCACGTGCATCCCGTATTTTTGTTGAAACCATTTGGCAACCCTAGTAGGAGGCATGGTGAAGTACAGGGTTTTGCAGGCTCTGGGTGGGAGTCTGGGAGCTGGAGAGGGGTAGCATAGGGTGTGGAAGGGAGTTGGAGTGGGAGAGGGTGGGGGAAGTGCAGGCTCTGGGAGGGATGCAGGAGGCGGCAAGGGGCATCGTTCAGAAAAAGTTTTGTTATTTTGCCTCTTCATTCAAATTCCGGAGGAAACCAAAATATTGGGATTTCCAACAGGATGGAAAGTATGTTTTTTTTAATCATGTCTTGTGGGGCATAGGGATGTAAAATCCCGTTTAATTAGTTAACCAGTTAAACATTAAGTTTAACCAATTAACTGATTAATCAAGGATGGGCAGGCTTGAGCAGCCCCTGCCCGTAGTGCAGGGGCTGCTCCAGCCCAGGTGCTTCCGGCCCTGCAGGGACTGTCAACTCCCAACCCCTGTGAGCTGGAGCAGCCCAACACCCACAGCATCAGAGAATGGAAATAGCTGGCAGACCCAAGCAGTTCCATTGGCTCATCCCAGTGCAAATCTACAAGCGTGTACTGAATGAGGATAATAGCTGCATGTATGTTTAATTTTAAAATTTCAAAAATAGATTGCATTATACTCAATAATATAACAGAAAGAAAGAATAGCATGGTGAAAAGTCATAAGTATAGAGGGGTCCACAGTGGTTAGCTATAGGAATTCAAGAGACACAAAGAAAACAGGGCAAAATTTCAAAAGGAGCATTTAAAAAAAGGTTTGCTCTTCAACAATTAGTAAAGATTTTACAGAGAAAATTAAACTGTCATCCAAAGAGTTATTGAGCCAAATTTGGAGACTGAATTCAATTATTAAGAACAGCCATACTGGATCAGACCAACGGTCCATCCAGCCCAGTATACTGTCTGCCGACAGTGACCAGTGCCAGATGCCCCAGAGGGAGGGAACACAACAAGTAATCCTCATATGATTCCTCGCCTGTCACCCACCTCCAGAGAAACAGAAACTAGGGACACCATTCCTACCCATCCTGGCTAATAGATTCATGGAGATTAATTCCATCAATGGGTATCTAGCTCTTTTTTGAACCCTGTTAAAGTCCTATTAAAGTTTGAAACACAGTGATTTTAGTCCTATTTTAAGTACAAACTTCAGTACAAGCTTAACTTTGAACAGCTTCCTATCTGAATTTCTAACCAGAATATCCTTTTAAATTTTCCAGATTACAAATCATTTTATATTCACAGATGAGCACAAGGCACTTTAAATCATCCCCGATATATTTATTATTACATTGCCACATATTGTAGGCAAATTGCACAACCAAACTGAGTCAATTGCATTTTCCCTAATTAACTTTGTTTCTCATACATATTTTTCCCACATATTAAATCCAATTATCTTCTAGGTTTTTAAAGGAATACATTCAATACTCTTCCCTTCCCCAAAATGTACTCAAGAATATTTCAGTCCTACTTTGTGATTTTTAATAGAAACCATGATATTATATACATCACAGTAAGCTTTTACATCAATTATTTCTTTACATACATATACTTTACTTAGGTTACATAACCATTTTTCTGTTTTATATCACAAATACGATACAGTTAGGGAGCAATATTTGGCATACATGTACATATATGATATAATCACTGTCACTGGTATTCTACAAAGTGGCATTACCAAAAATTGAATAACAAGAGGCTGGAAACCCAGGCACAAGTACGCAGGAAGCAAATGGAGATTTTCTTTTTGGCTAACCCCTTTTATCAGTTGCACCCCCATCCTCTTTCCCTGACAGCAGGCTATACCCTGGTACTCTTCCCTAGTCCTCCACAGAAGGTAGGTTTGTCCTATCTTCTAGCTCTCCAACTACACTTAGTTCCTCCTCCACCCTCTCTCCTAGCTTTTCCCATAGCCTGTGACTTACCCTCCACCCTAGCACACTGAACATAAAGCATTACTTGCCCCTCATTTTCTAGGTCCACCCTTCACCACAGACAGGCTGCCCCATCTGATTCACCCTCTCCACTGCAGGTTGTGGCATCATTTTTTTTCCCACTTGCCCCATAAGCTGCACCCCACATCCTCTCCCCTAGTTCTCACTGCACATATCAGTTAGACTAAGGGTGAGGGTGTTTCTCCCAATGACACACAGAATGTAACCATCCTTTCCTAACCTCCCATCATCCCCCTCCCTACCCTCATGTCACCCTCTCTGAAGCCTACAAGGCAAAACCTGGGTGATCAGATGTGCACACCACGTCTCCCTTCCCCATGAACTGTTCCACATGCACTCCCACACTCTATATATAGGGTGTACCCCCAACACATTGGAAAGACCACATTTCCCCTTCTCCCCATTTTCCTTTCTAGGCCACACAGGGCCAGATTAAGGTGTGGGCGAGCTGGGCAGCTGCCCAGGATGCCAACCTATGGGGGGCACCTGATTGAAGTGGTAAGGGGCGCCGTGTGCCCGGGTGTGCAGCCATGCATGTGCCATTCACCTGGGGGCATGGTGCCCCTTACCATGTCAATCAGGCGCCACATGCCCAGGGGCAGGGCTGCGCATGTGCTGCGTGCCTGCTGCCCGGGGCACAAGTATAGCTCGGTCCCGCACTGAGGCCACCCCCCCACACATTTCTAAACATTTCTCTCCCTTAGACCTTTCTCCTCCCCATACACTCCCACAGCCTCTGTCCCAGATGGCCACCTCCTTCCCACAAGTTGCCCCTATCCTCCGACCTAGCCCATTTTCTTGCACATTTTCCCCTTTGACTCCCTGTCCTCCCTGTAGGCTGCAATCCCCTCCCGCTTAGATGCTTCTCTCCTCAGACTGCCTCTGAACA